AGCCACCAGTTTGACTACGTGATAATCAAACTTCGGAAAATGGCGGAAACTCAGCTTCAACAGTGTTGGATGGCACCAAACCAATGCCGCAGCTATTGGTCCTTAGGGTTCTTCCTTGATGGTTCATCTTTCACCTGCCCAGTCTAGGGCGTTTATCAGACCCAAAGCTACTGCCCTTCTCCCCACCTTGACCGTTCTGCCAATAAGGCTTAGATTGGGGGTCGCCGAAATGTTTACGATAACGGCAGTCCCTACCGAAGGGACAGGATTGGCGAGTGAAACGGCAAGTGTCAGCACCGAAGTGCATAGCGCTCCCTTGCCTACGTATACCCTTGCCCGAAGGTGGCCTGGGTATGCCAGATTGGCTCACCGCCGGTTTAGCCAAGGCTACAGCTATCAACTCGTGAGACTGATTGGATCTTAAATAGGTACCGAGGGCAGAGTCGCCTTGGAGAGAAGGGTCAGTGTCCCGCAGGCGGGTGACCCCTTGTGGCAAGGCCAGCCTGTAACCCTTATCACACTCGACTGCTGCCTCGAACGATCGTGACCTCGCTAACCAGAGCAACCGGCTCAGATAAGCAACCGTGCCTTCCTCAGCTTCGAGAAGATCTCGACCACGACGACACCACCACCACCACCATAGTTTTTGTTGGAACCGACGACTTCGCTGGCAGTACCGGGACTTTTGGTGGATGAGCTGGCAGACTTCGCATCGGCTACCTCCGTCATAGTGGTTGTTTCGGACTCTCGGTCGAGTCCCCCATATGCACACCTTCTCAATAGTTCGTCGGTCAGCTCCTTGTCCTCCAGGGCCGCCTCGAGCACACCCACAGTACTAATACCAATGTCGACACAAACAGTCGACGCTTTCTCAGCCCGGAAGTCGGGGAAAACTTCGCGGAAGAGGTCGGGCGTGCTGGACGTGGTAGACATATAAAAACAATCTGCGACCAGCTCACGTAAATCGTAGCATGACCCAATACTCGTCTAGCTGAATTCTGTGGCGGAGTTTCTGCCTATCCTGGCACGCTAAGCTAGGGTCCTCAGCTCGGGCACCGAGCCTCGGTGGAGAACA